GTTTGCTCTTAGTTCTTATCCCCCCATGAGTTGGGATGCTGAAATCCTCTGGTAGGGCGTTGCTAGCTATTCCAAGTTCTAGGCAAAAACCCAGAGTGTATTCCTGGTTTATCTCATTTCTCATTTATACACAAAATTTTCAATGTGTAATTTATTTTTCTTTTAATTTTACACTTATATATGTTTTGTGTAGTCTTTGTTGTCCACCACTAATTAAAGCCCTTTATTACCTGTATGGAGTGCCAAATAAAGCTATTATTATTTTTATTATTTATCATACCTAAACAAAAAAAGTAGACTGTCAAAGCCTCCCTCAACAACATATATGAAAGTACCAGCCCAGCTACAGGTGTACCGGACCTTAAGTACGCTCCGTAGGTCACATGACGTTAAACACGTTGTCAGTCGCAGTTTGGTTAAGTTTAGGCAACAAAACAACTTAGTTAGGTTTAGGAAGAGATTGTGGTTTGGGTTAAAAAAATACATTATGTAAGTCAGTAACACTATTCAACTTAAAACGCAATAAGTCAAGCTTGAGATGGTTTCGTACACTGTCTCCTGGGTAAAAGTCCTGAGTTTGGACTTTATTCTAGGTCACCTAACTTCCTCTTTTGCTCATCCCCCGACTGACACACATAATGTTGGATTTTACTTGCAGTATATACTGAACGTCTGATATATATCTACTCTATTTAATTTAACTGGTTTATAGTTCTATATAGAGCAGTGTGATTTTATTTTAAATACATGAATTGTTATGATACATACAGTGTCATGGAAGTGAAAGAAGCTGTGTTTAAAGGATCAGTTTGGATTTTGTAATAAAGATTAGCTTCATCTAAACGCAGGAATGAGTTCTGCAGAACTACCGAGTAGTTCTACCAAGCCCAGCCGGTATGGACCGAACATACATGTGACATGTGAGTATAAAAAACATTTGAATCAGAGGTTACCGTTCAAAGTCAGCGGACTGACAGGGATCATTACCACACTTTCTTCTCTTCCTATATTTTGAAATAAGACTCTACATGTAGGGAGACTGGGATGAAACACCTTTTGTTTGAGCGTCAATAACTCAGTGGTTGTTTGTGCTAGGTCTCTCAAATATACAACCCATATCTGTCTTCTACAAAGATAACTCACTTGACAACTAGTACACAATCACAGATTACGTGAATTAGTATCAAACTGGGGCGTTTTCAGGCTTTTGAAACATTGGGGGCTTAGCCCAGCACAGAAATCTTTCATGTTTTCACCCCCCACCCCCTTTTCCGTCTACCCAAAGTACGTTTATAAAGCAACAGTAAATGATATATATGGCCTACATTTACTATGATTTTTATAATTACTACTGATAATATTAACACTGATAATATTAATTAGGAGGGTCTGGGGCTCCTCCCCCTGAAAAATTGGGGCTTTAAACACTTAATTTCCTGCATTCTGGTGAATTTTATTGCCCCAATTTATTGAGGAAATATCTGAAGTGACAATTCAAAATGAAAAGAATATAGTGTAATGTAATGCAGTAAGGCTGTCAGATATGTTTCTCCTGTAGTTCACCCTTTCTAATACAATTTAATCCCAGCTGAGTCTACAGACATGCAGGCATGCCTGAAGTAGCCTAAAGACGTTCTTAATGTGCATATGGCACCTTTTCACCTCAATGATAAATTAGCTTAATTCATTTGAAATAAGTAAACAAATATTTATTAATGAAATATTGGGGGGTGGGGCTCCTCCCCCTGAAGATTTTGAGCATTAAACACTTAATTCTGCACCAATTTATGGTGGAAATGTAGTTTTATATAGGGAAGGACAAAATATAGGTGTCAGGTGATAATTCAGAATATAAAGATATAATAAATGTAATGCAGTAATCAGTAGCTTATAGTTATTTTCGCGCATTTGGCGAATTATTATTCTTTTGACCCACAACACAAGAAACAGCTGGAGCAGAGGGGGAGGAGTTGAGGCTGTAAGAGATGTGATTGGGCCAGCCCAATGTCAGTATTGGCCTGATGCTTTATGGGCCGATCGTTGCTCATTTCTTTACATAAATAAATGATTTGACTTGTAGCCTATTCGATGAGAGGAGCGCACTGCTCTTCACAGAGGAAGAAAAACATCCCGGCCGCTTTAGAGGGAATGAAGCATCCTGGAGACAGTGAAACAGTAGTGTCTCACAGCGAGGGGACAGACACAGCAGCACACAGAGGACAGGTGTCTTGATATTGTCTCTCTTCTTTGCAGCGACTGTGTTAATACGCTGAGCGACAACATTTATATTTATATATCTCCCCCCCCCCTCTCCCTCTCCCCCCCCCCCCTCTCCCCTCTCTCCCCCCCTCTCCCCCCCCCCCCCTCTCCTCTCGTGCTGACTCGCCGGCAGGCTGAGTAACAGCAGGGGGGCTCTTTGCTTCTTATCCGCTGCATATTAACATGGAAAATATTGTTGTTGCTGTTGTTGAGTTACATTCGGGCTACAGTCAAAACAACAAAGAGTTCCGTAGTTACAAACGACCCCTAGTGTTGTAACACTAGCTGGGGATGAATGTAACAATGAGAGGTAATTTCCTAAAATAACATTCACACTATACAATTTATACAAGAACGTTATTGGAGAATAAAGAAGACATTGTTTTGAATAAGCTGAACAATTTAAAGTTATAAAAACACTTATTTTTTCAAAACTTTATATTAACTGAAAAACGGTGCAATTACTGTCACAACTATGGCAAATGTAGACGGCCCCTAAAGTGTTTTTGGGCCCAGAACTGATCTTGACCTATTTCTTTTGGCCTTGAGTTAGAAAAGTGTTTGCACACAATGCAGAAATCTGAGGATTCAGAATCCTCTTGATCATTGGACTCGGGCGTTTTGCTTGTTTGCTTTCTTTTACCCCTGTCTGTCTTATGCGTCCACTGCCAAGGCATGCTAGAATAAAGGTACAAAAAAACCTTCTGAATCATCATAAGGCAACTTGTTCTCACCCCTTGACTTGTCACATATGGACACATGGTCAAGACCCATCGGTGTCAGTTTGTAACGGACTGGGGCTGTAGTGTCAGTTTTGGACAGTAAAGGCAGGTAAATGATGTTAAACAGAAAAGACTAAGGTGGATGGAAGGCCAGAACCCCAACTTTGAACCAGGAGACCGGGGTTCATGTCCCATGTAAAATAAAAAGTCAACATTAAATATTGTTATGTAACTTGCCTAAGCAAACGCAAGTGATGTTTGTTAAAGTACGTATTAAGTGACGTACGTAACTTTAAGTAACTTTAAGTAACTTTTCCTAACACCAACCAAGTACTTTTTGTGCCTAAACCAAATTGCAACATTTCACAACTTTAATAATGTGCCGTTTGAAAAGGGCGATGTTTCAAAACGCTAGCATTTTATTTTGAAGGTGTAACCGGACATTGCATATTTATTGTTGCTAACTTTACCGGACGTTCCATATATGTTGTTGCTAACTTGACCAAGCATCAATATGTGGGTGGGAGTGAGAATGTGTGACCATAAGGAGACAGATGCAACATTTCTGAACTGTTCCGACAACAACCAGCCATTCCATAGCTAGCTGTTTAATTTATGTATGTTCAAGGTTAGCATGAATCCAAAACATCAAATTAAACTAGAGAAACGGATACTTTAGGTGATATAAGTTATAAAATTGCATCTACAATAGAATGAATGCTTGGCAAAAATTAATCAAAAATCATTTTTTGGTTGTAAAATGCACAGGTGTTGCTAACAGAGCTTGAAAAGGAAATTGGAGTCTACAATATTTATGACATCACCGCAGCTCTTTTCTGATTGGTCAAACTGACAGTGTTACAGCTAACCCAGTGTTACCACACTCCCTGGTCTCCCCTATACTTCCTGTTTGCTTAAGTGTAGCAGTGTTCATTGCACTTCATTTTTGTCCTGCTTGTCGGCAGATTCACAACTCTCCCTGTCTGCAGGAGAATCAACGATCAACACGACACCAGTCAGATAACTTTAGGGTCAACGATATTTGCAGATTTGACTAGAGGGCCACAATGACAAAAGAGGTCCTCCTGAACACTCTGGATGAACTTGGAGAAGAAGAATTTAAGTGCTTCAAGTGGTTCCTTAAAGATGAACGTCTGAAAGACTCTTCAACCATCCCGAAGAACAAGCTGGAGAACGCAAAGACGTGGGACACAGTGATCTGATGATCCAGACCTACACACTTCCTGGAGCTGTGGAGGTGACCAAGCAGATTCTAAAGAAGAGCCAAAGGAATGATTTGCTACAGAGTTTGTTGGACACCAGCTCGGGACCACAAGGTCAGTCACAGGAAGTAGAAAACATGAAAAACACGATGGCACGGCAGTCTGAGAATTTTCAACCTGATGAAAATTAAAAACCTGATAATTGAGGAAACTCCCAAAGAGAGTGTAGAGGATTCTGCTGAGAGAGAGCATTTATGAAAAATATAGCACATAAGGAGCGGTTTTGAGGGGTGGAGGAAGCTGCTGCAGCAGGCAACATATGCATGAGTTTTACCAGCAGAGTAACAGTGATGAGGATCAGGCTATAATGTCAGAACTGTACACAAATGACGATGATGTTACTGCCCACACATTTGTGAATGAGCAATTGAAAGATGCTGCAGGATACAAACAGTGTCCAAGTGAAATACTCCATCTAAGTGTACCGAACCTATGAGAAGCAACACAAACATAAAGCAAGAGAGTAAGAGACAGTAATTGCATTTTGACACAAAGGAAATATTCTACAGTTAAAGTTTGTCTCCCAAACCAATTACAGCCTCAAATTACTACTACACACAAGCATGTGCTGGACAACATCACAAGAAAATATCTTTATTAACACCAATGCAAATAGATACACATACTGCAAATGAATACAGAGATTCAGCAGCATGATAGCAAACTGAGCAGCATGACGACACCTGCTAGCATTCAAATTCTACAACTACATTATTCCTCTCTCTTTCAATGAATGTCAGTCATGTTGAAGAAACTCCACAGAACAGAGGACCTGCCTCTCATCAGACTGAAGGTAAAGTTACATTATAAAATGTGATTTTCAAACAAATATGGGGAGTCATTCTGTCTCAGCCAGCAGCTATGTTTATAAAAGTTTGTCAAATTTTAGATATGTAGCGACAATAAATTAATGGTTGAACTACATACAGACAGCTTTTGTTTAAGCTTGTTTCTAACAACTTGGCGAACATGCTAACTTCAATAGATTTCTCTGCAACAGATACAGTATCTCTAAGTGAGTTCACCCCTCACATGTCTGTAAATATCTGATTCTATCTTTTCATGTTCAACACTAAAGAAATGACAGAAAGAAAGTAGTGAGTGTGCAGCTTGTATAACAGTGTAAATCTGCTGTCCCCTCAAAATAACACATCACACAGCCGTTAATGTCTAAACCGCTGGCAACAAAAGGGAGGACACCCCTAAATGAAAATGTTCAAATAGGACCCAATTAGCCATTTTCCCTCCCCGGTGTCATGTGACTTGTTAGTGTTACAGGGTCTCAGGTGTGAACGGGGAGCAGGTGTGTTAAACTTGGTGTTATCGCTCTCACACTCTCTCATACTGCTCACTGGAAGTTCAACATGGCACCTCATGGCAAAGAACTCTGAGGACCTGAAACAAAGAACGGTTGCTCTACATAAAGATGGTCAGGCTGTAAGAAGACTGCCAAGACCCTGAAACTGAGCTGCAGCACGGTGGCCAAGACCGTACAGCGGTTCAACAGGACAGGTTCCACTCAGAACAGGCCTCGCCATGGTCGACCAAAGAAACCAAAGAAAAGTGCACGTGCTCAGCGTCACATACAGAAGTTGTCTTTGGGAATATTCATATTCTTTGCACCTATTAATAACCAACGGATTAGAAACTCAAGTGTCTTAAGTTGTCCAAAACAACAGAAGTGATAAATGGGTTAATTTCCGTGCGTGCTCTCTTCATGTTGTTCTTGTAAAATACAATGAAAGGTCATCATGTAGGTAATTTTATTTATGGCAGGCGTTCACAAACGGCCCTTTAAAAATAAAGGAATAAAGGACTTTGCCATGACAAAAGGTCACTTCGGGCATCAAGAGGCAAAGTGGCAGGTGTGCACCCCCTTAACAGAGACGTTACTAACAGTATCAAATATGTTTGGTTATGACATTAAGCTGGCTCCATTGCTGTTATTTGAAAGGAAAATGTCGTTGGTTCTTAGGAAGGACAATCCTAAAGAACAAAATGCTTCTATATGTGTGCACAAACAGCCTGATACTTTATATTTTTTATATTTGTGTTCAACACAGACATGATGGTTCCAATACCAGAGCCACAACCCATCACATATTACCAACACATGCTTCAATCACACTTTCAGGACAAGTTCATATGTATACAAGAAGGATGGATGCAGAAGAAGGAACGTCTGGATGATATCTACACAGAGCTGTACATCACTGCTGGGGCTGACATAAGCATAAACACACAGCATGAGGTCATGCAGATTGAGGCAGTGTTGAAGCCAGCAGAAACAGACAAACCAATTAGACCTACTGACATGTTCAAACCCCCCTCTGGAAAATACAGACCCATAAGAACAGTACTGACCAGTGGAATCGCAGGAATTGGCAAAACATTTCTTGTGAGCAAGTTTGTGTTGGACTGGGCTGAAAAAAAATCCAATCAAGATATGCATCTGATTTTTCCCTTCACCTTCCGCCAGCTGAATTTATGGGCAGGGGAAAAGTTATGTTTGACAGAACTCATTCATAATTGCATCAGGGAAACCAGAGAAATCAAGGAAGAAGCTCTTAACTACATCTTTGAAACTCTGCAGTCATCAGGAAACACCAACTATGACAAAAGTAAATTCAAACTTCTGTTTGTTTTGGATGGACTGGATGAGAGCCGTCTTCATCTGGACTTCTCTACCTGGGAAAATCAGCCAGTAAACTTCAATGTGACAGATTCCACCTCAGTGGATGTGCTACTGACAAACCTCATCAAAAGGAACCTGCTTCCCTCTGCTCGCCTCTGGATAACCACACGACCTGCAGCAGCCAATCAAATCCCTCGAGAGTTTGTCGACAGCATGACAGAGGTTAGAGGGTTCACTGACCCACAGAAGGAGGAGTACTTCAGGAAGAGATGCAGAGATGAGGAGCAGGCCAGCAGAATCATCTCCCACATCAAGACATCACGAAGCCTCCACATCATGTGCCACATCCCAGTCTTCTGCTGGATCACTGCTACAGTTCTGGAGGATGTGTTGAAGACCAGAGAGAGAGGAGAGCTGCCCAGGACCCTGACTGAGATGTACACAGAATTCTTGGTGTTTCAGATTGATCAGACAAAAAAGAAATACGGCCCAGAAAAGTGCATTCAGTACATTAAGTCATTAGCAAAACTGGCTTTCCACCAGCTGGAAAAGGGCAACCTGATCTTCTACGAATCAGACCTGAAAGAGAGCGGCATTAATGTCAGTGGAGCCTCGGTGTGCTCAGGAGTCTTCACAGAGATCTTTAAAGAGGAACGTGGGAAGAAGAAGGATGAAGCAGACAAGATGTTTAGCTTTATCCATCTGAGTGTTCAGGAGTTTTTGGCAGCTTTGTATGTAGAGAAGGCACTCATTAACAAAAACAAGAATGTCATGTCTGAGCCAGGGCAAACCTTTGGCAAGCATGTGCGAATGGTTTTCAGCAAACATCTGTGTCAGAGGTCCACAGGTTCGCTATTGACAAGGCCTTGCAGAGTCCAAATGGACACCTGGACTTGTTCCTCCGCTTCCTCATGGGACTTTCTCTGCAGACCAATCAGACTCTCCTACGAGACCTACTGAAAAAGAAAAGAAGCTCAGAGACCAATCAGGAAACAATCGAGTACATCAAGAAGAAGATCAGTGAGAATCTGTCTGCAGAAAGAAGCATCAATCTGTTCCACTGTCTGAATGAACTGAACGATTGTTCTCTAGTGGAGCAGATCCGACAGTACCTGAGTTCAGGAAGTCTCTCCACAGATAAACTGTCTCCTGCTCAGTGGTCAGCTCTGGGCTTCATCTTACTGTCATCAGAAAAATATCTGGACGTGTTTGACTTGAAGAAATACTCTGCTTCAGAGGTGGTTCTTCTGCGGCTGCTGCCAGTGGTCAAAGCCTCCAACAAAGCTCTGTAAGTGCACAGATAACTGCAGATACTCACTGTATCACATGTATAGGGTTGTTCTCAGTGTAAGAATGTCTTACTGAAAAACTAGTTTCATTGTACCACCACAGATTAATGCAGCCATGAAATGAAAACAAAATATTATACAATGTAGTTGATTTTAAGATAAAATAAATTTGTGTATTACTGGGATCAAACTGATTTGACTAAAGATCCCAATAATAAACACAGCAATAAAAACTATAGGAAACTGTATAAATGTGATGTTTTTTAGTGTTAGATGAAACAAACAGTATCAGCGTTTGTCTTTATCACTGAATATCTCTCACTATCCCCCCTTCAGGCTGAGTGGCTGTAATCTATCAGAGAGAAGCTGTGAAGCTCTGTCCTCAGTTCTCAGCCTCAAGTCATCTAGTCTGAGAGCACTGGACCTGAGTAACAACAAACTGAAGGATTCAGGAGCGAAGCTGCTCTCTGCTGGACTGGAGAGTCCACACTGCACACTGGAGACTCTCAGGTCCGGATTATGAAAACTTATAAAGGGAGAACCAGAACTGTGATTTGATGTTGTTGTCCTTTTCTTCAGTCATTGTACCACGTCTCTTTTCAAAATATGATTGTAAATAATTTAAAATACAGAGAGAAAATCTTTCACATATGTGCTGTACATATTTTCTAGGCTGAGTGGCTGTAATCTGTCAGAGAGAAGCTGTAAAGCTCTGTCCTCCGTTCTCAGCTCCCAGTCCTCTAGTCTGAGAGAGCTTGACCTGAGTAACAACGACCTACAGGATTCAGGAGTAAAGGTGCTCTCTGCTGGACTGGAGTGCCCACACACTACACTGGAGACTCTCAGGTCAGGATTGAACCATAATTCACCCTTCGCTAAGCCACGTCCCAAAACCGCAAGCTGGCTAATCACAGCACCTTATAGGACACACTCTAACTGAAGTCCGAAACCTCCATGGCAATGCTGTAGCATGCAAAAGGAGTCGTTGTCTAGCTTTTTTGCCAAGTTTTACCAAGATATGGTCAAACGCTGTTACTGGAACATTTGTAATAGTTACAATCACTACCAGGAGAGGTTGAAAGGAGAAGTACGATTTATTCCCTTTCCAAAACCTAAAATAAATGCAGAAAAATGTAGGCTGTGGATTGTTCCTAATGTAATGTTAGCTAGTTAATGCTACCTAACTTACTACTGAATGTAACGTTATATAGGCCTACTGCTTTTTCATTTCAATGTTTGCAATAGGGAATATAGACCTACACAGTTGAAAGCAACAGTGTTATCCTTAATATAATTGTCCTCTGTCTCAATGATCAGGTGATGTGGTGGTTCACTTTTACTCTGTGATCGGTAGGATATAGCTTCTATCTTTGTTTTGTTTTTTTTGTCAGTTTGACAGCCTGAATCTAACCTTGAAATGCATAATGCAAACATTTCTGTATAATTCTCTGAGAATGCTCTTTAGTTTTTCCAAAAATTAAACAATATTTCTCCAGGGAGTGCAGTTACAGATAGTGGCAGCGCCATACTAAGTCTGATAAGTCCAACCGTTTGTCAGACTCAGACACAGTCATTAGGGCTGGCGTGGCTTTGTGAAGGGTCAATTGTCACATGATGTTATCGCCATCAGTCACTGTACTACTTCTCTTTTATAAAAGCGGTGCCTACCAAAATATAATCCTAAATCATATCAAATACAGAGAGTAACGTTTTCATTTACATTATATTTATTAATTTAGCTGACGCTTTTATCCAAAGCGACTTACAATTGTTATTTATGTCAAAAGTCACACACCTCTGGAGCAACTAGGGGTTAAGTGTCTTGCTCAGGGACACATTGGTGGATGTGTAACATTTGGGAATTGAACATGGGTCTCTCACACCAAAGGCGTGTGTCTTATCCACTGCGTCATCACCACCCTCGCGCCATCACCACCTTATGTACATATGTGCTGTTCATATTTTCTAGGCTGTGTGGCTGTAATCTGTCAGAGAGAAGTTGTGAAGCTCTGTCCTCAGTTCTCAGCTCCAAGTCTTCTAGTTTGAGAGAGCTGGACATGAGTAACAATGACCTGCAGGATTCAGGAGTGAAGCTGCTCTCTCCTGGACTGGAGAGTCCACATTGTACACTGAAGACTCTCAGGTCAGGATTAATAAAGCTATAAAAAGTGAACTACAATTGTCACATGATGCTGTTGTCATTTTTCTTCAGTCATTGTACTACTTCTCTTTTATGAAGTTTGCAGTTTGTACCTAAATATATTTATTTTATCCCTTTTATTTTATTCTATTTTACTTATTTTATATTTATCTTAAACGTGTATTTTAGTCTTTTCAATGTTTTCTTGCTTTTATCTTGTATTGTTTCTGTATTATTGTTTTTTGGGTATTATTGTCTTTACACTTGTTAAAGCACTTTGTAACTTGTTTTTGAAAAGTGCTCTACAAATAAAGATTATATTTTTTATATATATATATATATATATATATATATATATATAAACCTAAATCATATAAACACTGAGTAATATTTTCAAAAATGCGATGTTCATATTTTCTAGGCTGTGTGGCTGTAATCTGTCAGAGAGAAGTTGTGAAGCTCTGATGTCAGTTCTTGGCTCCCAATCGTCTAATCTGAGAGAGCTGGACCTGAGTAACAACCTAATGCAGGACTCAGAAGTGAAACTGCTCTCTGCTGGACTGGAGTGTCCAGACTGTACACTGGAGACTCTCAGGTCAGGATTAATAAACATGTAAAGAGTCAGCCATAACTGTCACATTTATGTTTTTGTCATTTATCTTCATCGTCATTACGGTACACCACTTCCCTTTTCAGACACTGATATGAAAATAGTTGCTGTCAAAATATACTGTAGGTGTAAGTAATTTCAAACACAGAGACGAATGTTTTCACATGTGTATTGTCTATATTTTCTAGGTTGAGTGGCTGTAATCTGTCAGAGAGAAGCTGTGAAGCTCTATCCTCAGTTCTCTGCACCCCATCCTGTAGTCTGAGAGAGCTGGACCTAAGCAACAACGACCTGCGGGATTCAGGAGTGAAGCTGCTCTCTGTTGGACTGGGGAGTCCACACTGTGCATTAGAGACTCTCAGGTCAGCATTCAGCTTATGTTAACAGAGAAAATGTAGCAAGATACCCAACATATTTAGGTTTTAACAGTGTAGATTATACACTGCAGTTAAAACCTTGGACCTGAAAGTCAAATGGCACACACAAGTCTCGGCCTCAGATCGTACTTTGGAATAAAATTTATTGCCCAGAAATAGCAGCCAGTGTGCAGCGGTGCATTTACAGCTAACAGCTGTGGATGGAGTTACGCTAAATTGGAGTTTTTACATGGAGCCAAAGTCGGTCTCCTCCTCTCCAAAACAAACGGACCAGCTGATAACAACAGGTTGTGTTGTGCTTCATCTAAACCATTGGTAATTATGTTTGTTACGAATATATGTAAAAAGAACATTTGACAAGAAAATGAAATCAAGTAAACAAATCGAAGTGATTTAGATTAGAAAAGGAGTGGGAAGAAGAAAAAAAACCTTATTTAATCCCACCCCCTATCCAAAAATCTAAAGCTTACAAGTAATCGACCCGCGTTCCAAATATTTGCACATCTACTTTGTTATATCCAAAAGCAATTCAAAATGTACATCAATCATTTAAACAAGAAAATAAAAAAATATAATAGGAAAGAATAAATTCCAGCAACTCAGAAATAAATGACCACAATGAAACTGAAGATAATTACTAGCCCCAGAAAAACTCATTGATTATTCACCCCCTTCTTCATCCCTGTAACCATTGAAAACCATATCTTTATAACTGATTTTAAACTGATTTATGTTTGGACATTGCTTTAGTTCCTCATTAAGACTGTTCCAGATCTTTACTCCAGAGCTTGAAATGCAAAAACATTTCCTGGTTGTCCGTATCCTGTTTGTTGTGTTGTGTTTCGCCCTTAAATTATAACCTCCCTCTCTCTCCCTAAATAATATTTGAATATTTCTTGGCAATAGGTTATTTTTGGCTTTAAACAGTATTTGGGCTGATTGATATTTCACCAGATCTGTGAATGTTAATAATTTTGACTGTAAGAATAATGAGTGAGTGTGATCCCTATACCCACCATTATGAATAATCCTTATTGCTCTTTTTTGGAGAATAGATAGTGAATATAATGAACTTTTGTAGTTGTGTCCCCAAATCTCAGCACAGTAAATGAAATATGGCTTTATTTAATACTGCAATTGATCTTGATAGTTTAGATTGTACATGATAAATGTGTGATTTCCAACTGATTCTGTCATCTATAATTAATATAATAAAAAGAAATTTATTTTCATGAACTCTCAATTATAACCCCATCTATTTGTATGTTCACCTGAATATTCATATTGTATTTTCCAAATAACATTATTTTAGTTTTATTTAAATTTAATGATAATTTATTTCTATCAAACCATATTTTTAATTTGTTAATTTCTTTAGTGACATCTTCCACTAGTTGCTGAAGGTTTTCACCTGAACAGAATATATTTGTGTCATCTGCAAATAACACCATCTTCAACAACTTAGATACTGAACATATTTCATTAATATACAAAATAAACAGTTTTGGTCCCAGAAATGACCCCCTGGGGGACACCACAAGCAATGTCCAAACATACTGACCTGGAGCTTCCCAACTTCACAAACTGCTGTCTTTTACTAAGATAACTCCTCACCCAGTCTAATACTATACCCCTGACACCGTACAGATACCTCCATTACATAATTTTTATGATCTATGGCACTGGTGATTTCCTCAATTCATTCTATTATTGCCATCAATGTAGATCTGTTTAATCTGAATCCATATTGACTGTCTGTGAGTAATTGTTGCTTATCCAAGAATGTTTCTAATCTGTTTTTAAAGATTTTTTCTAGTATTTTGGAGAATTGTGGAAGTAAGGAGACAGGTCTGTAGTTTGTGAACTGGTGTTTGCTGCCATTTTTATACAGAGGTATGACTTTGGCTATTTTCATTTTGTTTGGAAATGAACCTGTTTCAAATGATAAATTACATATAAATATTAATGGTTTTGAGATCCCCTCAATTACTTCTCACTATAGTCATGTCAATGTCATTGTAATCGGTAGACTTTTTATCTTGAATTTGCTCACAATTTCCAATATTTCTTTTTCATCCACTGGCCTGAGAAACATTGAGCTTGGATTTCTCTCTATTAATTTATTACAGTGATTTTCCCAGCTAGGTCAGGTCCCACATTTACAAAGAACTGATTAAAACTGTTAGCCACATCATCCATATTATAATAGTTCTTATCCTTATCAATAAAATACTTAGGAAAACCTACTGTATTTGTCTAGGACGATTTCTTATAATACTATTCATTATAGCCCATATTCCTTTAATATTGTTTATATTATTTATTTTTGTCATGGGTTGGCTGAGTGAAGGCTGAGGTCTGGACCCAAATGCAGACCAAAAGGCGAGGATGCAGTTCAAAAGGATTTAATTACTCAAAAAAAAAAAAACTGAAACAAGCTTACGTGGAAGCATAAGGGTAAGACCAAACTGAGGTAAATCCAACAAACACAAGGCAATCCAAAAACCAGGGAATATTCCAGGGAACAGGGAAAACACCCACATCACACACATTTACCTTCCATTGACCCCATACCCAAGAGGCTGGAGGCCCCTAGTGAGATTAGTTACAAGACAGTGTTTTAAAGATGGTTCTCATGAAATTCCCATTACACGGAGCACAAGGCAGAACACTCCCCATAGACGAAGGATGTGACCAAGACTGAAGAGACAAGCAGGCATCCAGTATATAGACACAGGGACCAACGAGTGGGGCGGGAGCAACACAGGTGAGGGGGGCTCAGGACTAATGAGACGCAGGCAGAAAGCCACAGGGAAACTAATAATAACCAGGAAGAAACAGAATAACCCCCCTCCCCCCATTCACTTACATGCATTTTCCAAGTCCGATTGACACCAAATTGGGTCAACTGTTCCCCATGGGGCCCTGATGACACCTGAAAAATTTGGTGCACTTCGGCCAAAAGGTGGCGCTATAATCGAAGCTCAAATACCATCAGACAATCCCATTCATTCCACAGGGATTTTCAACTAAAGGACATTTTGCCTCATAACTACAGCCCACTACATGTTACTACATTCATAAACCTTATGTCTACTTGTTTGGGGGATGCTGCCGATTGCGATATATATAGGACACGCCTCTGTGCGATGACGTTTTCATTTAGCAAAATCGCGAAAACTGGAAAACCTATTTTAATTAAATCCTCCGAAGCCGCAAGTCCGATCAACACGAAACTTGGCATGGACCATCGCTGGACCAAGCCGAAGAAAGTTTGTAGAGGGAATTTTGATCCAACAAAAAACGGCCAAAAGCTAAACATCTTACGTTTGCAATGTCCGATCTACACCAAACTCGGGGACCTTATCTGGCATGGCCTCCCAAGAGCCTGTGTGAAATTTTGCATCAATCGGCCTCCAGGTGGTGCAATAAAATGGAAATAAAATAACACTGCCATATACATACATTCATTTCAGATCTTCGTAACCGCAAGCCCCTTTCATTTAAAACTCGGTCGTTTATTCTCCACAGGCCCCCGAGCCATGGCGGGTTCCATGGACAATAAATCATGGCGGGCATGGGCCCGGGTCTGCTATATTCTTTTATTGGACAATTTTTGTCATATAAATACTTAAAAGGTTCTAAGAATCTGTCATATGCATTGTTAATGTCTTTTCCTGATATATTCTATTCCAGTTCTGTGCCAATTTGTTGATAGATTCGTCTAAATTCGGTTTGCTTGTCGGGCTTATTAAGCCTATATTTGAAATCATCAACTTGTCTTTTAGACTCCATCCCAACTAGGCTGCTTAAAGAAGTTTTACCCTTAGTCAGCACTACTTTACTAGACATGATGTCTTTATTAACAGTCTATGCCAGCATTGCTGCAGAGGTTGAAGGGGTGGGGGGTCAGCCTCTCAGACCATACGCCACACACTGCATCAAATTGGTCTGCGTGGCTGTCGTCCCAGAAGGAAGCCTCTTCTAAAGATGATGCACAAGAAAGCCCGTACACAGTTTGCTGAAGACAAGCAGACTAAGGACATGGATTACTGGAACCATGTCCTGAGACCAAGATTAACTTTGGGTAAAACTTTTATTTGCTAAAATCCCTGATTTGATCCTGCCTACTGTATGTTTGGGACAGGCCTTTAATTCATTTTGCACAAAACTGTAACTACTATGAAACAGTTTATTTATTTCAAACAGAATAATACTTGTATACACGTCATTCATTTGATCTAGCTCTGAAGCTCTGAAGGTTTTTTTGTTCTACATCAACATGGTGCAGGATGAGAGAAGTTAGCAGACAGAGAGCGATGGACTTCACACGACAGGATTCACAACTTAGAATAATTTTTATTCCAACATGATAACGACCCCAAACACACCTCCAAGAACGACCGCTGCCTCACTAAAGAAGCTGAGGGTAAAGGTGACGGACTCGCCGAGCAGGTCTCCAGACCTGAACCCTGCTGAGCATCTGTGGGGCTCCTCAAACGGAAGGTGGAGGAGCGCAAGGTCTCTAACATCCACCAGCTCAGTGATGTGGAGGAGTGGAAGAGGACTCCAGTGGCAACCTCTGGTGAACTCCATGCCCAAGAGGGTTAAAGCAGCGCTGTAAAATAATGGTGGCCACACAAAATATTGACACTTTGGGCCCCATTTGGACAATTTCACTTAGGGGTGTCCTCACTTTTGTTGCCAGCGGTTTAGATATTAACTCACCGCGCTAGTTTTTCGCTTTATTGTCTGGTAGCAACTTGCCACCATTTTCTTTGTTTACACAGGCCACCATCTCAAGTTATTCAGCTGTCAAGTATTCGTTCCTCGGTTTTGATACAGTCTATGCTCTCATTCACATCAAACACAGTCACTGAGTTATCAATACATTAAGTAAAAAGTAGTTTCAGAACCAATTGGAGCATAGACCATAGCTATGCTTACATTTCCTAGTCAAAATACTTTGCTGATGAAGGGAAGAATTTTACAGCAGTGGACTGATGGGGTAATTTAATATTTTGATAATTTGAATCATTAATTATGAATTCACACTGACAAGGAAAGAATAGATAAAAATATTATGTGTGTGTGTGTGTGTGTGTGTGTGTCTTCAGGCTTTCAGGATGTCTTATCACAGAGGAAGGTTGTACTTCTCTGGCCTCAGCACTGAGATCCAACCCCTTCAGTCTGAGAGAGCTGGACCTGAGCTTCAACCATCCAGGAGACTCAGGAGTAAAGCTGCTGTCAGCTGGACTAGATACACTCAGGTATGAACAGGCAACAAGAGCTCACACACTGTTTCTCTGTCTGCCTGACAAGCTGAGAACTCTTGGTTCACAGTCTGAACCAGCACCCCTGCAGATAACAGTGGAAACAGTAACAGATGTGCTGAGAGTCCATGTCCCCACTGAGAATGACCTCCTAACTAATATCAGACCAGCAGACCAGGATCAGGTCTTTATCATTTAGTGAAATGCAAATATGACAAATATAGTCAAGCATTTATAAACCATAATGCAAAATCATCATCCATCCATTGTCGACCGCTTATCCTGCGTACAGGATCGTGGGGGGGCTGGAGCCAATCCCAGCTGACATCAGGCGACAGGCGGGGTACACCCTGGACAGGTCGCCAGTCCATTGCAGGGTCACACATAGACAAACAACCACTCACACTCACACCTAAGGACAATTTAGGGCAACCAATCAACCTAGCCTGCATGTTTTTAGACGGTGGGAGAAAGCTGGAGCACCCGGAGAGAACCCACGCAGACACGGGGAGAACATGCAAACTCCACACAGAAAGGCCGGGGCAACCGGGGTTCGAACCCCCAACCTTCTTGCTGTGAGGCGACAGTGCTAACCTTCAGATTTTAACCGTCTTTTTAACTTTTTAAAGCAGTGTGGAAAGTCCGTTTTTATCTCTGGTCCCATTCCCACAGTTGGTCGCGGTGCTGGCCGCTTCAGTAGACTCCTTGGCCTCCACGACTGGCTCCAGTCCGCCTGCAGGGCTCACCGTGTGTTTTATGTGGATAATTTTAATATTTTCTGGCAAAGAATGTCTCTTTTTAAGACAGACGGACTTCGCCCAAACAAACGGGGCTCAGAAATGTTAGCTGCGCACATACAGCATGTGGTGCGGTCCACACATGACTTATATGAATGACTAATCATTCATGCAGCACACCTGGACACACCACCGCTCACTGAACAGATCTCTGGCTCACTGCCACAAACAACTGTCTCCACCTGCTGGCATGTAAAGCCGTCTGCTCCCAGCGCTGTTCCACAGACTTCTATTCCTGTCATCATCACACATAGACCAGTAAACCGAAATGTGCACATCCCACACAGCAATATTAGTAATCTCTTAAGGATTAGGACAACTGCACCAACTCCAGCACCCAGAACAAACTCATTTAAAATGGCTCTCTTCAATGTGAGATCACTTTCAAGTAAGACTTTTATCTTAAATGATTTTATCTTGTATGGAAATCTAGATTTTATGTTTTTAACTGAATCCTGGTTGCAGATGAATGACTATAGCCAGCTAGCTGAACTGTGTCCGCCTCAATATGATTGTTTTAGTCAACCGAGGGTCAGTGGTCGTGGTGGTGGGCTAGTGAGCGTGTATAGGAAAAATTTTAAATGTCATCAAGTACGCTGTGATGAATTTAACTCTTTGAAGTTCTCACTCTTAAAGTTGGAGGGCTGCAACCTATCATATTTGTTATAATTTATCGCCCCCCAAAACCGCCTGGAGGATTTTTATCAGAACTTCCTGAATTTTTATCTACTCTGGTTTTAAATTATGACAGAATTGTTCTTTGTGGCGATTTTAATATTCATGTTGATGACCCCACCAATGTTAATGCAACTAACTTTTTAAATATGGCCACTTCTTTTAACTTCAAACAACATGTCAAAGGGCAAACCCATAACCGTGGTCATACCCTATTTGACCACCTGTCAAATAGGAAGTTTTGTGTGTCTGTAAACAACTATGTCTCTTTGTTCTGTCCAGTTAAATATGGTGTGCCTCAGGGGTCGGTCGTAGGACCCATTTTGTTTTCCTTGTATCTGCTTCCCCTTGGACATATTATCCATAAACATGACATTTCTTTTCATATTTATGCTGATGACACACAAATATACTTGCCCGTCAGATCCACAGACCCTGGAATGCTGAGTTCACTTAACAACTGCCTTTGTGAAGTTAAAAAATGGATGTCAAATAATTTCCTCCAGCTGAACTCAGACAAAACAGAAATCCTGGTCATCGGGTCTCAGCAGATGGCAAATCAAATACTGCCATCTGCTGGTTCCCTAGTAAATCGCATTAAGCCTGTGGCAAAGAACCTTGGTGTTTGGTTTGATAGTAATTTAAATTTCGAGAAGCACACCACAAAGCTTGTTCAATCATGTTTTTATCAACTTAGCAAAAATTCGATCTATGTTAACTTTTAAGGACACCGAGACCATTTTACACGCCTTCATCTCATCACGCCTGGATTATTGCAACAGCCTTTTCACCTGTTTAACCCAAAAATCTATTGATCGACTCCAGACTGTCCAGAACTCAGCTGCCAGGCTTTTAACCAGAACAAAGAAATATGACCACATTACTCCTATTTTAGCTTCATTACACTGGCTCCCAGTATGTTTTAGAATTGACTTTAAAATTCTATTGATCACTTTTAAAGCTCTTCATGGCCTCTCGCCTTGTTATATTTCTGACCTTTTAGTCCCATACGCACCAGCACGTACCTTGAGATCCTCGGGCAGAGGTCTGCTGTCTGTTCCAGAGTCTCGACTGAAAACTAAAGGGGACAGAGCGTTTGCTGTCAGGGCCCCGAGGCTCTGGAACAGCCTGCCCGAGGAAATCAGGTCGGCTGAGTCAGTGAACTCTTTTAAGTCCCTTCTTAAAACATACTTTTATAGGAGAGCTTTTCCCGATCTTATTTGACTTTATTTTATCCCTTTTATTTTATTGTATTTCACTAATTTTATATTAATTTTTCATGCTCTTGTTTTTTTGTATTATTCTTTACACTTGTTAAAGCACTTTGTAACTTGTTTTTGAAAAGTGCTCTACAAATAAGGATTATTATTATTATTATTATTATTATTATCGCACCACCGTGCCGCCAGCAAAATCATCAAGAGGTTCAAATTTATGCTTTACCTTGGAAACTGCAGTTGACAAAACAATCTCAGGTAAAGGTCCATTTAGTAGCTGTTCTGGAGTTTATTAGGAAAGTTGTTATTAAAGGCTTCTTAAGATAATGCCCAGCTCATGAGAAATCACACTGATCCAGATGGTTTGAAGTTAGGAATTTAAATATAAAATGAGTTCTTTAGTTAGAACTAAGATTTCTCATCTTTTTCCAAATTTGACCTTGGTCTCCCCAAACTTCCACCTGCTCTCAACATTTCCTCCATGAGGTAAAAAGATTCAGGAAGTATACAAATCATATTGATGGGGCTAAAATGAAGACAGACTCAGTGATCTTCATGGAAGGAGCAAAGTTTTCAACTTAAAACTTGGTCACGATGCAATCTTGTTTCACATAATCTCAAAATAAGAAGTGCCCCAGGTTAGGCTACAGGGCAGAGGTTTTTTTTTACAAATCAAATCCAACTGAAAATAAATTGCAGTATCAAGTACTTTATGTAAGTCACGTGGTGTAACGCTGTGTTTCTAAGAGAATGAAAATGTAACTGTTGTGGGTACATTGGGGGGTATATTTAGGGCCCTAGCAAGAGAAATGTGCAAGGACCCTATTGGAACTGAAGGCATTATTTTTTGGTCTTTCCTTCATCTCATCCATTCTGCCTTTCACTTCCTACCTTAAGGTCTTTTCACATGGGAAGCAACACTCCGCCTGCGTAGTCACCTGGCCCCGCGAGGTTGCTCTGCGCTTCTCATGTGAACAGACACCGAGACAAGCGCTCCGCGAGTAAACGGAAGGCACTCTGTAGATAGTAACCACGGCAACGGCTTCTGTGCGCTACTGTATTCCTTCATAGCCTAGCTTAACGTGAAAGTATAGGCTAAGTAACGTTAGCTGATAGGCTATATTATTATATAGGCTATATTATTCATATTCATATAGCTGATAAATCCCTCCTGTTAATGTCCTGTTAATATATTTCAGGGAAATCACAGATGGAGAGTATCAGTCCCTCATCCTGCTACATCCTTCTACTGTATTCCTTCATAGCCTAGTTTAAAGTAAAACTATAAGTAACGTTAGTTGATAGGCAATATTATTATATTATATATATATTATTCATATTCCTATAGCTGATAAATGCAAATGCCCTCCTGTTAATGTCCCAATAACTGTTCAGTGAACACATATATTTCAGGGAAGTCACAGACGGCGAGGATCAGTCTCTCATACATCTTTTTGTGCTGCGTGTCACGTAGGCTACAGAAAGTTCAAGTCAGTTCAACTTTGGCAGGGGCGGGCGTGTGCGTGAGACGAACATGAATGTTTCAGTATGGTCTTCAGCCCTGGTCTCTCTTGGAACAACAGTGGAGCGCTTGCGAACACCTACTCGTAACTCCACTGGTTGGTTACCATCCAGGCGACATCAGTCAGGTCGATCTTCCCAGGCTTTTTCCAGGCCTCCACAACCACTTCTGAATCATCATCCTCTTTAATCTGGCAAACCAAGAGGGATATGTTCTCCAGTGGAACCCCTCTCCTTCAAGGATTTAAGAAGGTTCCCCCTTTTCTGGATACAGGACCTCATATGTGGTTGGGGTCATTTTCCTAACCACAGTGAGTGGGCCTTGTCACTTAGCCATAAGTTTGCTTGAAGAAAACGGTCCTTCTGACCTGGTTAAAACTATCAGGCTTTCTGGGGCTTCATGGAGGTTGTGACGGCCTTCCTTCCTGTGCTGCTCCAGGTGGTCCATCATCTACATGATATACAAGGCTCCTTGCCATCAGGCGCCTCAGACTCTGCTTCAGCAAGTCCAGTGGTCAAGAGCCATACAAGAGTTTGAAAGCTGAGAACCTTCCCTGTTGGCACAAAGAAGAAATGGTAGCCACTCTTTCCCTTTAACTGCCACAAACCTGAGCATACATTTCAGCATATGGTTGAACCTCTCCACCAGGCCATCAGTCTCAGGGTGGTAAGGAGTACCTGCAGACAGCCCATTAGACATGACATGAAGTTTGTTCTAATGTATGTACCGGTACCCTGAGCTACTTTTCTCCAGTGGCCCCATGATATCTATGGCTCTACAGCTGAAGGGGTGGTGATCATGGGCATGGCCTGCAGAGGAGCCCGATCAGACCTGTGGACAGCACCGGTTTTCTGGCATGTGCTGCAGTGTGTTTGCACATCATTGTGCATGGAAGGCCAATAGAATCAGACACCTTAGATAAGTCTGGTGTCACCATAAGTGTCCCGCTGCAGTCTGTTCTCTGCCTTCTCTCCTACTAAATGCTGCTTCCCTAGATGTCTGTGAAGGTTCTCAGTTATCCGGGGCGGCTCAGGAGGTAGAGCGGGTTGGCCGTTAATCGGAAGGTCGGCGGTTCAATCCCTGGCTCCCCCTGGTTGCGTGTCGAAGTGTCCTTGGGCAAGATACTGAACCCCGAATTGCCCCTGGCGGCTATTCCGCCAGCGTATGAATGAGTGTGAATGCTAGTTTCCGTTTGAGCACTTAGGCTCAGTGTATGAATGTGTATGACTGGTGAATGCAGATGTAGTGTAAAAGCGCTTTGAGTGGTCGAAAAGACTAGAAAGGTGCTATACAAGTACGGAGCATTTACATCCAGTTATCCAACGAAGGTTGAGATCAAGGGCAACTGTATCTTCACCCTTGACCTCATCCTTCCCTAGAGTTACCTTGCCAATCTCTGGAGATGTTTAAGTCTTCGTTACCCCAAGGTTGTTGACAGCAAAATGTGAGGAGGCCCCCTTGCATGCATAGATGTACTACAAGGCCTGCCAGGCTGCAGTCACACACATACAAACAAGGTTCTCACTGGTAGAATTATTCTTAATGTTTTTCATTCAGTTACTTATTTAAATTAATTGTTATTATTTCAGTTCTCACGACGGTGCTGTCTTGTTTATTTACAGTGGGTACGGAAAGTATTCAGACCCCTTTAAATTTTTGACTCGTTTCATTGCAGCCATTTTCCAAAAATCAAAAAAGTTCATTTTATTTCTCAGTAATGTACACTCAGCACCCCATCTTGACAGAAAACAGAAATGTAGAAATTTTTGCAAATTTATTAAAAAAGAAAAACTGAAATATCACATGGTCATAAGTATTCAGACCCTTTGCCGTGACACTCATATTTAACTCAGGTGCTGTCTATTTCTTCTGATCATCCTTGAGATGGTTCTACACCTTCATTTGAGTCCAGCTGTGTTTGATTATACTGATTGGACTTGATTAGGAAAGCCACACACCTGTCTATATAAGACCTTACAGCTCACAGTGCATGTCAGAGCAAATGAGAATCATGAGGTCAAAGGAACTGCCTGAAGAGCTCAGAGACAGAATTGTGGCAAGGCACAGATCTGGCCAAGGTTACAAATTTCTGCTGCACTTAAGGTTCCTAAGAGCACAGTGGCCTCCATAATCCTCAAATGGAAGACGTTTGGGACGACCAGAACCCTTCCTAGAGCTGGCCGTCCGGCCAAACTGAGCTATCGGGGGAGAAGAGCCTTGGTGAGAGAGGTAAAGAAGAACCCAAAGGTCACTGTGGCTGAGCTCCAGAGATGCAGTCGGGAGATGGGAGAAAGTTGTAGTAAGTCAACCATCACTGCAGCAATCCACCCGTCGGGGCTTTATGGCAGAGCGGCCCGACGGAAGCCTCTCCTCAGTGCAAGACACATGAAAGCCCGCATGGAGTTTGCTAAAAAACACCTGAAGGACTCCAAGATGGTGATAAATAAGATCCTCTGGTCTGATGAGACCAAGATAGAACTTTTTGGCCTTAATTCTAAGCGGTATGTGTGGAGAAAACCAGGCACTGCTCATCACCTGTCCAATACAGTCTCAACAGTGAAGCATGGTGGTGGCAGCATCATGCTGTGGGGGTGTTTTTCAGCTGCAGGGACAGGACAACTGGTTGCAATCGAGAGGAAAGATGAATGCGGCCAAGTACAGGGATATCCTGGACGAAAACCTTTTCCAGAGTGCTCTGGACCTCAGACTGGGCCGAAGGTTTACCTTCCAACAAGACAATGACCCTAAGCGCACCGCTAAAATAACGAAGGAGTGGCTTCACAACAACTCCGTGGCTGTTCTTGAATGGCCCAGCCAGAGCCCTGACTTAAACCCAATTGAGCATCTCTGGAGAGACCTGAAAATGGCTGTCCACCAACGTTTACCATCCAACCTGACAGAACTGGAGAGGATCTGCAAGGAGGAATGGCAGAGGATCCCAAATCCAGATGTGAAAAACTTGTTGCATCTTTCCCAAAACGCCTCATGGCTGTATTAGATCAAAAGGGTGCTTCTACTAAATACTGAGCAAAGGGTCTGAATACTTACAGTGGGGGAAAAAGTATTTGACCCCTTGCTGATTTTGCAGGTTTGCCCACTTACAAAGAATGCAACAATCTACAATTTTAATCATATGTACATTCTAACAGTGAAAGACAGAATCCCAAAGAAAATTCCAGAAAATCACATCATATGAATTTATAAAAATTGATAACCATCTGATGAGGAAAAACAACATCTATATCCTGTCTGGAAGTGGGATCCCTCCTCTGTTGCTCTTCCTGAGCAATAATTTCTTTTTTTTTCATAATTAAATGATTTCTTGGGGTGGTTCTTTATCTTAATCAAGGGTCTAAGGACATTTGGTGTACCTTGACACAGAGAGTGTAAAGCCTCTTGAGGTAGATTTGTGATATTGTGCTATATAAATGAAATTTAATTAACTTAATACTTTTGAATCCAAGACAAAAATGTCTCTGTTGACCACTGACTTGAATCATTTTTATTTTTAAAACTTACTTTCCTTTTTGTCTGACCTTTTTATTATTTTATTTTAATTGTCTGTGTCTGTTTATAAAATGTGTTTTATAAATGCAGCTGTTTTGTCTTGTGGATCTGAGTTAAGGTTTCTGAAGATCACTGATGAGGAAGCTTCTTAAGGTCCATTCTGACTTTATTTCCAGGTTGGAACATGGTGGTGAGCAGAGACTGAAACCTGGTCTTAAGAAGTGTAAGTGTCAATTTGACTCATGAAAACAAGGAAATGAATGTTTAAGTAGTTTAAATTAAAAGCTTGTGTATCTGCATTCAGTTCTCTGTTTTAAAGAAGAAGTTAAATAATAAGTCACTCTGAAGTCTAGATCTATGTGGTAATGGCGCAGTGGATAAGGCACATGCAGTCAACAGTTACTCCTCCAGATCTGGCGCTGCACTCGTTGCAGCGACAAGCAGCAGAAGTTGCATGTGTTTGTTGTCTTGTACAGTATGTGGACTTTTACCAATCTGTCGTTTTTTTTAACCAACTTGTGTGTATGGTGTGTTTTTTGATTTCTCTTTTAACTACGTGGAGTCATCATGGACGTTATGAGTGCTTTATTCATGAACATGGTTGTTCTTGGGGCTGTATTGAACTTTCAACATCGCAACCAGCCAGAACAGACAGAAATATAGTCATGACTTTCTTATGCGATGCAACAGTTCTGTTGCAGGGACATTTCCCGACGGCATACCGCTAGAGATCAGTAAACAAGGATTTATTCATACATGAAGGCAGACAGCGGTACGTAAGGAAGCGTGGCTGGAGAGGAGGAGTGAGGCAGAGGCTACGCAGACCGGGGCTATGCCGCCTGCCACTTCCCTCAGTCATCCTCGGAAACACACAGTCACTGAGGAATAAAGTCGATGAACTGCAAGCGAACGTGAAGTATATACTGGAATACAAAAATGCTTGTTTGATTGCACTGACTGAAACTTGGTTGACAGACCATGACTTGAATTGGGATTTTGAAATCAATGGCTTTGGTCAGCGTGTGCTTGTATGTCAATTCACGCTGGTGTAAGACTGTCGTAAGGGAATCTATTTGTGGCCCTAACATCGAACTTTTATCTGTTCCACTGCGCCCATTCTATCTACCACGGGAAATCCTACAAGTATATGGTTTATATTCATCCTAGAGCCAACATGGTAGATGCAACATCCACTATTGTTAAACTTGTGCATCATTTGCAAAGCATTTCCCCTGATGCACCGCATTTTATACTTGGTGATTTTAACTGTTGTAGTCTTAAAAAGCCCCTCGTCATTTTTACCAGTATGTAACCTGTCCAACAAGATATGGTACTGGACTTGTGCTATGGCACCATAAAGGGTGCATATAAATCCTATGCAATGGCGCCATTAGGCTCTTCTGACCACAACTGTGTCTCTCTAGCCCTGATCAACCGACCCTCAAGAAAGGGAAAGTTGAGCGCGAAGAAGTTTCTATGTGGACAGAGGGCGCTATCCAGGAATGGCTGTTTTCACAGTACTGATTGGGATGTTTTTAGAGTCCTGCACAAACTTGGATGAAGTGACTCTCAATAAGCCCTGGGTTACTAAATCCCTCAAGAACAGTCTCATTCAGAAAAGGCTAGCTTTTCACCTGGGTGACATTCACCAGCAAAGAGATGCTCAGAAGTTGATGAAAAAGCAAATAAAGCTGGCCAAAATGCAGTTTAAAAATAAGATAGAGGATGAACTTGAAAATGGTAATTCTCACTGTGCCTGGAGAGGAATCAAATCTATGGTGGGAATTCAGAACAGGAAAGAAAAGAGTGTTTAGCACCAATAAGCCTAACCCATCCTGGCAGAGGAGTTAAATAATTTTTCATGAGATTTGACCCCCACGATTTTAGTGATGAACTGGCTGAATTCAGAGTGGCTTCAGAAAGTAGTCAGATTCAAATTGATGAAAGGGATGTCTGGAGAACTCTTGAACAGACAAATGAGAGGAAAACCACAAGTTCTCAAGCGCCTGTCTGTGTTTCCTGGCTGCAACGTGCACATATATTGTAATATGAGAGTTATGGATATATAGTGTTCTATATTTCATGGTCGCTCTACTGTATGTTGGTATGTTTTATGTTCTTAGGTATTTTATTTATTATTTGGTTGAGGTGTATCGACTACTGTTGCAAAACAAATTGCCCCTCGGGGACAATAAAGTCTATCAAATCAAATCAAATCAAATGCCTTTGGTGTGAGCGTCAGCTAAATTAATAAATGTAATGAGCTACTTTAAGCTGCAGTTATTAGAAATTGAACATACATTGCAAACTTTTCTGCGTTGCCCTCCTGCGTTGATTTAAAAAAAAAAAATATTATCTCTCCCATGTACAACTGTCAGGATGTAGTGACATTTTTAGCAAATATGCCAAAAAGATATTTCAATAAAAGTTACCTAATGAACCTTTTTAAAGCTCCAGTGCATAATATTTCTGAGGATTTATTGATAGAAATGCAATATTAGACTTAGACTTAGACAGACTTTAGTCACTCAACTGCACATTCACGATGTACATTTGAGTGAGATTTTGTTGCAAGGCTCCAAATAAAAAACAGACGAAAAACAGTATAAGAACATGCAATATAAAATAGAATATCAAGAAGATATAAAAGAAACAGAACCCTAATTTAAAAAATTGTGACTTTTTTCAGAAATGTAGCAAAACAGAAAAATTATATGTAGCAGCAGGATGTCTTAAAACTGTGAAGTATAAGATAAAATACAGTGATACAATAGAAGATCCATAAATATGTTTTCAGTGGTGTGTAAAGAACTTACATAATAAACCATTATGTTTTTATTATCTTAGAATGAGACATTTATATCTCCATAACCGCGGGAACCCCCTTCCATGGACGTCGCCACGTTGCATCATCATGTTTCTACAGTAGCTGGAAACAGACAAACAGGCTACAGAGCGCGTTTCGTCACTACTTCTTCTTCTTGTACTTCTGGTAGAATTCAGGCAGGGCAGACACTCATCACTGTGTTGAATACGTACGTTAGAAGAAGAAGAAGTAGTAATAATATACTGCAGGGGTCGGCAAATAAGTTTTGCATTAGAGCAATAGTTTCAACCATTAGATTGTGGGTGAGAATATAAGACATAATATTGGAGGCTGTTGATGTGATGTTTGGTTAGTTCAGTTGGTAAAGTGCAGGACTTGCATCCCTGGGGTTGAGGGTTCAATCCCACCTTACAGTATGTGCTGCAGTGTTTGTGTTTCAGTGTTTGATCCGCAGTCATCAACCACTGCTGTCAAAGTATTTATTAATATTTTTTGCCCCTATCAAAACACCATACTCTGGCAGCGGGCCAGATATTATTGTTGGCGGTCAGTTTTTGTGAGGATCCATAATCACAGAGAGAATGAATGTGTTTCCCATGTCAATGTTTGTATAAAATCTAATGTGTTGTTTATAATGGACTGTGGTGCAGAAACAGTGTTTCACACTCTTGGCTTACATTTTCCATGTTGTCTGTCAGTGGCCAAGTCACAGTAACATCTGGTTTACTGAATAATTAGATATAATTTCTTAATATATCCATCTAAAGAAACCTAATTTCTTGACAGGCTACTCTCTGTCCTGTGTCAGACACCGTAGCTATCCTACACTCTTTGAAAAGTTAGGGAGCAGTGGTAGTCTGGACAGTTGGTTGCAATTCACAACCCTCACCACTAGATGCCACTAAATCTTACACACTGAACCTTAAACCGTCAAGTCTGTAAATAAAGCAGCAAACCCATCAGGTGTGTTAGATGATTAACTGCTGCTGTATTGTGTCTCGTTCTCTCCATCAGATGCCTGTGAACTCACACTGGACACAAACACAGTACACAGAAAGCTCAAACTGTCTGACAACAACAGGATGGTGACATTGGTGACAGAGGAGCAGCCGTATCCTGATCTTCCAGAGAGGTTTGACTACTGGCCTCAGCTGCTGTGTAGAAATGGTCTGAGTGGTCGCTGTTACTGGGAGGTCGAGTGGAAAGGAAGGGTTTATATATCAGTGAGTTACAGAGGGATCAGAAGGAGGGGAGACCATTTGTCCTGCAGGTTTGGATGGAATAAGCAGTCCTGGAGTCAGGAGTGCTCTGATGTTTATGGTTACTCTGCCTGTCACAGTAAGAGAAGGACACGGTCCTTCTCCTCCTCTTTCTCCTCCTCCCTCACCTCCTCCTCCTCTGGTAGAATAGCAGTGTATGTGGACTGTCCAGCTGGCACTCTGTCCTTCTACAGAGTCTCCTCTGACACACTGATCCACCTCCACACCTTCAACACCACATTCACTGAAGCTCTTTATCCTGGATTTGGTTTATGGCGGTCTAACAGGTCTGTTTCCTCAGTGTCTCTGTGTTCCCTATAGAGGGAGGGTCTTCTCCTGTCACACTGCTGACAAACAAGTCTAATGACTCATAATTATGAAAAAGTGTGTGAATGCACTTCAAATATGTTTTCACATGGAACACCTTGGTAGTCAGATGGTTACAGTGCATGCCACATTGCAGTTGCAGCCGTTGCTGCTTCGCTTCCATCCACTGACCTCTGTTGCATGCCATACCCCTCTCTTTCCCCGCTTCCTGTCTACCTCTTTACCAGTCACTGTAAAATAAAGACAAAAAATTAAAACTAAGATCTTTGGGTGTTTGAGGTTTTCTTTACATTGCAATCAGATTTTTTTCTAATACAAATAATCATGTATATACAATAAAATCAGGTTACACACATTCAGATTCAGATGTTGATCTGTAAGTGATCATTGGAAGGTTGAAAAATGTCTAATTTGAATTTGTTGAGTATGTGTGTATTCCTCACTGCACTGGAAAGCATATCAGATCGCTTTTCTTGTGTTTGGGTGTTCTTGGGAAACCACCAATGATACAGCTTCTTTTTATTAAAGTAGAGCTCTTTGCTGTCAAACTCATTTTGAAGAGCTTAACTAACGAATTGAAATAATCAATTATTGACTATGGAAAGCAGTTCCAGCAGTAGGCAGTTGCACTAGCAGAGGGCAGCAACACACCGTTATTCTCTCTCTCTTTCATCCTTTCTTTCTTAGTTTCTTTCTTCTTTGCCTGGGGAGCCGTTTAACTCATATTTTTCTTGCATTATTTATATGCAGATTTAATGACTGAGTTTATAATTTATGTACATTTAGAAATTCATCTGCATTAGTTTTCTCTTCCTGCTGCACAGTTCAGTTTTTGTGGTCTTGTACCATTCTCCAACTGTTGTACCAACTGTTGTTTGTAGGAGATGATTTGACTGGTTGCTGACGTATTGCGGTAAGCGTGTCGACTCATTTCCGTTTCCGGTGCTTGTGTGTTGGTACCGTGTTGTGCTGCTCTCACTAAATAACAGTTACATTTGTTAGATTACAGCGGCCAACTGTCCACTAAACACTTATTCTTACAGTAATTTTGCCTAAGCACTCACAGTTCTTTCCATCTTTTAGTGACTGCTGATCAATCTCATAGTTGTTCTAAAGTTTTGGTAACTGACGCTACAGTAATTTAGCTTAGCCGTTAGCGACTTTAGCTTAGCAGCTAGCGATGGCTTCTCCTTCTCCCTCTCTCTCTCCTACTTTCTCCTGCTCGGTGTGTCAGATGTTCAGTTACTCCTCTGCCTCCTTTAGCGGTAATGGTACGTGTAATAAGTGTAGTTTATTTATAGACATGGAGGCGAGGCTCAGTGATTAGAAGTCGGCTCTGCACCTTGGTAGATCAGTCTTTAGCTACTGTAGCTAGCCAGTCCCCTTTAGTCGGTGCGGAACGGCCTGAGTTAGCCTCTGGTAGCCGTCCCCCGTATCTCCTGTGCAGCCAGGAAGGAGGGGGGGGCTGGGTGACTGTCCGAAGGAGGATAGTCGTAAGCATTCAAAGTCCACGGGGCACCATCAACCTGTTCACGTTTCTAACAGATTTTCCCCACTCAGCGACACACCCGCTGAGAAACCAACTCTGATCATTGGCAGCTCCATTTTGAGAAACGTGAAGTTAGCGAAGCCAGCGGCCATAGTTAAGTGCATCCCTGGGGCCAGAGCGGGCGACATTGAGTCTTATTTGAAACTGCTGGCTAAGGATAAACGTAAATACAGTAAGACTGTTATTCACGTCGGCGGTAATGACTCCCGGTTACGCCAATCGGAGGTCACTAAGATTAATGTTGAGTCGGTGTGTACATATGCAAAAACAATGTCGGACACCGTAGTTTTCTCTGGACCCCTGCCAAATCTGACCAGTGATGACATGTATAGCCGCATGTCGTCATTCCGCCGCTGGTTGTTGAGGTGGTGTCCAGCAAACGATGTGGGCTTTGTAGATCATTGGCAGACTTTCTGGGGAAGACCTGGTCTGATCCGGAGAGACGGCATCCATCCCACTTGGGAAGGAGCAGCTCTCATTTCTAGAAATCTGGCCAAGTTTATTAGTGGACCAAATCCATGACAACCTAGAGTTGAGACCAGGAGGCAGAGTCTCAGTTTAACACACTTCTCTGCCCTTATAATTCCGCAGTTACCCACCCAAAACCCTATGCAGAGTCGCAGTCTAACACACTTCTCTGCTCCTCCATTTCAGGAGTTACTTAGTGAAAATCCTATAGTGACGGTGTCTGTCCCCCGACCATCGAAATGATTTAAATCAAAGGTAAACAGAAGAGGAGCTGTGCATAAAAACCTCATAAAAATAAAAACCACAAGATCAATAGTGCAAACGAATAGGAGAGTTAAATGTGGACACTTAAACATCAGATTTCTCTCTTCTAAAGGTGTACTAGTAAATGAACTAATATCAGATTATGATATTGATTTATTTTGTCTTACTGAAACCTGGCTGGGTGATGGAGAATATGTTAGCCTAAATGAATCCACCCCTCCCAGTCATATTAATACTCACATTCCTCGAGGCACAGGCCGAGGAGGTGGAGTTGCAGCTATCTTCGACTCTAGCCTACTAATCAGCTCTAAACCTAAACTAAACTATAACTCATTTGAAAGTCTTGTTCTTAGTCTTTCACACCCAAGTTGGAAATCACTGCAACCAATTCTCTTCGTTATAGTGTACCGAGCACCTGGTCTGTACTCTGAATTCTTATCTGAATTTGCAGAGTTTTTGTCAACTTTAGTCCTTAAAACAGACAAAGTTATTATTGTAGGGGATTTTAATATTCATGTGGACGTTGAGAATGACAGCTTCAGTACTGTGTTTATCTCTTTGTTAGATTCCATTGGCTTCTCTCCATTGGTGAATGGTATTGAAATTGAACATTTAATAGTGTTCCCACAGAATCCCTCTTTGTCCGACCACTGTTTGATAATTTTGAGTTTGTATTGCTGAACTACACGCCATTGGGCAAAAATTTCTATACAAGATGTCTGTCTGATAGTGTGTAGCTAAATTTAAGGATGCGATTCCATCAGCTCTAAATTCATTATCAAGTCACAAAGTAAGAGGACTCCTATGCTAATTTCAGTCCCTCCCAAATCGATCATCTTGTTGATAGTGCTGCAGGCTCGCTGCGAATGACACTGGACTCTGTAGCCCCTCTAAAAAAGAAAATACTAAAACAAAGACGGTTAGCTCCATGGTATAATACTGAAACTCGCAAATTAAAGCAAATATCGCGGAAACTTGAGAGGAATTGGCGTTTCACCAAAGTGGAAAATTCTCGTTTAATTTGGCAAGATAGTCTTAAAACTTATAGGAAGGCCCTCCGTAATGCCAGAGCAGCGTGCTACTCGTCATTAATAGAGGAAAATAGGAACAACCCCAGGTTTCTTTTCAGCACTGTAGCCAGGCTGACAGAGAGTCACAGCTCTATTGAGCCAAGTATTCCCATAGCTCTCAGTAGTTACGACTTCATGAGCTTCTTTAATGATAAAATTCTAACTATTAGAAACAAAATTCACCAAGACCTGCCCTCAACTGGCACCTCTCTCTCTAAACTCAGGAACCTTAGAAACAGCTGTAGAACCAGATATATGTTTAGACTGTTGTGCTTCCCTCAATCTTTACCAACTAACTTCAATAATTTCTTCATCTAAACCATCAACCTGCCTCTTAGACCCCATCCCGACTCGGTTGCTTAAAGATGTTTTACCCTTAGTCAGCACCTCTATACTAGATATGATCAATCTATCTTTATCAACAGGCTATGTACCACAGTACTTTAAAGTAGCTGTAATTAAACCTCTTCTGAAAAAGCCCAAACTTGATCTGGATGTTTTAGCCAACTATAGACCTATATCTAACCTTCCATTTCTCTCTAAGGTTCTGGAGAAAGCAGTTGCTAAACAGCTGTGTGACTTTCTACAGAGCAATAGTTTATTTGAGGATTTTCAGTCAGGATTTAGAGCTCATCATAGCACAGAGACAGCACTGGTGAAAATTACTAACGACCTCCTTATTGCATCAGACAAAGGACTTGTCTCTGTACTGGTTTTATTAGATCTTAGTGCTGCATTTGATACCATTGACCATCAGATCCTATTGCAGAGACTGGAATATTTCATTGGCATTAAAGGAACTAAGCTGGTTTAAGTCCTATTTATCAGATCGATTTCAGTTTGTACATGTTAACGATGAGTCCTCCATGCACGCCAAAGTTAGTCATGGAGTTCCTCAAGGATCTGTCCTCGGACCAATCCTCTTCACTTTATATATGCTTCCCTTAGGCAATATTATCAGGAAATATTCCATAAACTTTCATTGTTATGCAGATGATACTCAGTTATATCTATCGATCAAACCAGATGAAACTCATCAGTTAGCTAAACTTCAAATGTGCCTTCAGGATGTTAAAACCTGGATGACCTGTAATTTTCTAATGTTAAACTCAGATAAAACTGAAGTTATTGTTCTGGGGCCTAAGCACCTCTGTGACGCATTATCTAAAGATATAGTTTCCCTGGATGGCATCGCCCTGGCCTCCAGCACCACTGTGAGGAATCTTGGAGTTATCTTTGATCAGGACATGTCATTTAAGTCTCACATTAAGCAAATTTCAAGGACCGCGTTTTTTCACCTACGTAATATTGCAAAAATCAGGAACATCCTGTCTAAAAATGATGCAGAAAAACTAGTTCATGCATTTGTTACTTCTAGGCTGGATTACTGCATTTCCTTATTATCAGGCTGCTCGAAAAAGTCCATTAAGACTCTTCAGCTGATCCAGAATGCTGCAGCACGTGTTCTGACAGGAACCAGGAAAAGAGATCACATTTCTCCTGTCTTAGCTTCTCTGCTGCCCCCGTGTTCCTGCTCGACACCCTCTGCTGCAACGACTATTGTTTCTAGTCCTATTGTTATTATTGTTATTATAATCATTAACATTACGATTGTTACCATTAACACTACTATAAATATCTGTACCATTTTTCATTTAGTCTATAGCAACATCACCTTTACTGTCTGTACCTCTGTGTGTGGATATTGTGTAGGCTGCCTCCCTCCCTCCCTCCCCTCTCTCTCTCCTTCCATCCCTCTCTTTTCTCTCTTTTTCTCTCCTGCCCCCCCCCCCCCTTTTATGAAAAGCGCTGTGAGATAACTGTTGTTGTGATTTGGCGCTATATAAATAAAATTGAATTGAATTCAATTAAAACCTTGAAAACCACAAATATCTTCAAAAGGATTAATA